ATTCCTCTCTTGCATCCCTCCACTGGCTCCTTCTTCTCTATGCTATCAGACAGAAGCTGCCTGTTTTCACTTTCATGGCCTATCCCCACCTTATCACCTCTCATCCAGTATCGAAAGGTTGACTCCTGCCTCCAATCAAGCCCATGATAGCAGCCTCCATCGCCCACTTGTTACATCTTCAAACAATCACCTTCATGCTCTCTCCTATGCTGCCCTAAACGCTTGGAAGGAGCGCCCCATAAACTTCTCAAAATTAACTAAATCCTCCTTCGAATCTCTCCTTAAAACTTTTCTTTGCCAGGAAGCCTACAAAAAGCTTGGCAATGGTTGGCTGGGGCGTGTTAAGAGCACAGGCTGCCATGCTGACCATGTCTCCTAATTTCCTTACATTCTTCCATTGGTTGGCTGCATCCATCTGTTGTTTCTTGTCTAAAACTAGATTGTAAACTCTTTGGGGCAGGGACGGTCTTTCTGCTCTGTGTTTGTGCAACACCTAATGTATCAAGGATTTGGTCCATGACTAGAGCCCCTAGGCGCTGCAGTAATACAGATAGCAAATAATAATAAATCATATACAAGGTAGACATGCTTTTAAAAGCCTCTATGGCTAAATTCAACCTGAAACAGCTTCTACAGCTGCTGAGCCATCCCAGACTCTTCAGAAGTTTCTAAGAACCTCTTCAGCATGTGTGGAAGGGTATGTGAGGCATTCATCGCCAGACGCCCCCCTGTCCTCCCCTTACCATACTGCTCTCCCTGGCTAACCTCAGGAGAGATGTTTCCACCAGTTAGGAGGAACAACAGAGTGGGTAAAGTTTTCAAATACATCCTGGACACCAGGGTTTTAAGCCGAGACAACTCATGCCTGCTGACAGGGGGAAGGAGGACAATTTAAGGGGGGACATGTCAGCACCCCACATGTTGCCTCTGGGAGGAATCTTCCTGCCCCACCTAGGGCAGCCAATCCCACTGGCTCCTGGAGGGCTGGGGCGACAGGAGTGGGTAGCATGTGCCTCTGGACCGGGCCCAAGGACACACTCATGCTCTCACAGACACCTGAGCAAGTGAAGGGGCATGGGCAATGCCCCTACCTCTGGCTGAGCAGAGGCCAGGGAACCAGCTCCTGGCGCCTTTCCCAGTGACCCCCCCAACCCTGCACCCAGCCTGCGGCTACCGCGCTCTCCCCACCACAGTTATTGGGAAGGGGGAGAGGACCCTCTGTCCTTCTCCTGCTGTGCTTCCCCCCGGCCTGTTTCTGGCTTGCTTGGCCCCTGTCCCCAGCAGTCAGGCCCGGGGGGAGAGGGGAGGGGGCAGGCCACCGCTGCCTCCCCCGCCAGGTTCTCTCACTGACAGCTGTTGTGCGGCACAGATTGCGCGACCCAGAGAGGTCGCCACCCAGAGAGGTATCCCACCCAGACCCGGCTGCCAGGGAGAGGGGCCGAGCGGGGGAGGCAGGGGGGGGAGAGAAGGGGGGGTAGGAAGACACACAAACACCCACCCAGCAGGCTGAGCAGACCAATCCCTGCAAGGGCAGTTTGGCACTCGCAGAAATCTGTGGGGGGCAATAGGGGACAATGCCCCCCTAGGCATTGCCTCTGGTTTCCTGACCCTCACCTTCCACGTAGAGAACTGGTCTTTAAGCTAACTCACTCCCCGGGCTAAAATAACTGAGACATCAGAAGCTACTAAACCGTCTGTGCTGAAGAATACCAAGGGGTGAGAGGTGGGGAGCTGGCTCCCCCCTTCTCAATTAGCACTGGTTTATGCAGCTTCAACATAGCAACAGCCTGCTGCAAAGAAGGCAGCTGGAGTCTAGCTCTAACATCCTGCAGCACAGAACCTGGAGACATTTACTGTAGCATTCAGCCCAGGGGATAGTCAAGCCAGTAATAAATGTCTGAACACTATGCACTCTACCTTTTGTTTAGAGTTGGTGTCTCAAAATGTAACAATTTAAGGGCTGTTAGTTTAATGGTAAAACAACTGTTCATTTTAAGGTCACACTGAGGAGAAAAGATTTTAAATGTTAATAAAGTTACTGTTTTGCAATTTTATATTTCAGTCATGATTATATTGAAATTATATTTCAATTAATTATAAAGTGTATATAGTGCCCAGCCAGGCCCTTCATGTTACTTAATTTATCCAGAAGGCAGTGACGAGTGACGGCACCTTAAGACACCTCGGGTACCTTCCTGGACGGAGAGCAGCAGGAGAAGTTACAGGCTGAGGCATTTGAACTTGTTGATAAATACAAGATCAGTCAAAAGTTGCCACCTCTCTCAAGTGGACCCACAACAATCTCGGGAAGCAGAAAGTCTAACCCCCAACTGCTTGTACCCTAAGTCGCTGTTCCACCCTTACAGAGTTAACTAGAAAGTGATGGTTTGCTGTATAATATCCTTCAGCCAATTAACGTGGATCTCAGATCAGTCCCTAGTGGACAATAGTCTTCAAATTTCTTCACAGGTTGAGAAGACCAGAATTAAGGAAGCCGAGAGATTGTACGCGCTATCCCCACTAATGCATCCGATGAAGTGGGCTGTAGCTCACGAAAGCTTACGCTCAAATAAATTGGTGAGTCTCTAAGGTGCCACAAGTCCTCCTGTTCTTTTTGCGGATACAGACTAACACGGCTGCCACTCTGAAACCACTAAATAATGTTATTCCACGAGGTCTGCATTGAGGTTTTGGTGGGCAGCGTAGAAACAATGTCCTAGTTACTCAGACACAGGTCCCAGCAGTCCTGTTCGTAATATCCGTCAAATGACTCCATGGCAGGTAACCGAACTGCAGCCGTTTCTTTAAACTTCTGGGTGCAATAAAGTGGAGGCTGAATCGTATTATAACTGTTCCCTGTGTCCTTTGATGCACCGACTCCATACACGGCCCTGACAAAACCTCAGCATCATATTCCAATGTAATCGGCACAACTGGCTTCCAGCCTCATTTGCCAGGAAGAAGTCAGGGTGAATTCGGATATCTTCACTGGACACCACAGAGCAGCACTTTGCAGCCATTTCTCCACATTCAAGACTATTGTGCCCAATTTTTGCAGTCTTCCCTAGAAGCACCTTGTTGGGTCCTAGAAGGTGTCCTGCCTGGGAATGGTGTACATTTTTCAGCATGCCTCATGCAAAGAGATTCAACTATGAACATGCAGAGCGACAGAGAGGGAACTGGGCAGATACTACCAATCCATCTGATATTTGCCTCCCGCCTAAAACGCTGTAGTTGGTCATCTGCTCTGCCCTTCTCCTCTTGCCACTTCAGGTGACAATCCCCAAATCCTTTCTGGCTGAATGGTCAATATAACTATTCAACATTCACTAAATTCCAGGGCATGCTGTCAACTGTAAAGAAGCCAACAGAGTAAGGCTGTGCTAGGAACCAAGGTAATGATCATCCCTGGAGAATCCATGAACTCCCGGCCAGCAGTCATCTGGAGGTAGAACAGAAGCTGGCAGAGGACAGTATCTCCTTGCTACTGGAATGCTGCAAAACTTCTGCAATTGAGCAATGTCTTTGCTAGATTCCACTCTGCAACACTCCCCTGTAATCCCGCAGCCCGTGTTCTAATACTGAGTGGGAAGAGGAGAGCTGGCATTCAGACACTACAGTGATGATCACAGTCTAGATAGATTAAATAGCATTAGCACTGCCCCAAATGCTGCAGTTACTATGGAAGGGAGAGTCCACTGCAAGTCACTCTTATAAATGCATCAGAAACAATACTATGGGAGCCCCAGTGAAGGAGAGGGATCAGGGAAGGGAGAGGAGAAGATGTGAGGAAAGAAGATCAACAACATGGAAATGTGGAGGGAAAGTTAGTGAGAAAAGGAAGGACAGAGGAAAAGGAGAAACACAGGATGGGAGAACAAGAGGCAACATGGTTTGCTAATGAAGCTCTGATTCACATATCAGGCAGGAGAAGTTCAAACAGCTTCAGAGGTAGGAAATGCTGGGACAAACTGGGTGAGGGGATAGATGGAAAGAGTGGGAAATGTGTGTCTATAGTGGAGTAACAGTTTTCAATATGCATAGGTTTTTAATTTTAGTTAAAAGCAGCTTTTTATACACAATTTCTCAACAACAGAAGCTGCCTATAGACTTTATTGTAATCTAGTGAGACACTGCTAAGAACCATCAAAAAGCTGGAGGGCAGGGGATGGAGCTCAGGTATGGGGCAAAATGAGTAGAATTTATGTTGGGGGTGCAGTAGAAAAGAAAAAGCATCCTTAGACTCCCATTTCATTTCAGTAACCTCATCTGCAACTCTTAGCACAGATCAAACCTCAGAAGCCTTAATTAAAATCCAAACAGCAATATTTTCAGCAGAGCTACTGAAATACCCACACCTGATCAACCATTAATTAGAGCGTAACAGACTTCCATGTGTGCTCAGCACAGCTGAGATTCTTACATGGATACTGCATTTGTGGGCACAAAGACAGTATGCACAAAGAGATACGTTCCTCCCTTACAGACACTCAGACTACTTCTGATTTCAGAGCAGTTATGTGTCCCGGCAATGGTTCTTTAAGATAGGAAACTTTAAAAGTCACAATCATTTTACTGAACCCCCTTCCGAAGTGTCACCTACAGCACTGTCTCAAGTCACTACCATTCAGCTCCAGTACCTCGCAATGGATATTACAGACTCCGGGAGAAATGGGCCAAAGTGAAACACATTGTAAGCTGAGTCCTTATCAGTTGGCATGTCACCACTGTGCCACAGAATTATAGAATATCAGGTTTGGAAGGGACCTCAGGAGGTCATCTAGTCCAACCCCCTGCTCAAAGCAGGACAAATCTCCAGCTAAATCATATTGTCTGATTCAGATTCAGCATCATCTGCTGATACAGGGTGTTGGGCAATCTCTTAGCACAGCAAATACTGGAGTGGCTTATAAATGGCTGGACGCGGCCCAGTCCTGGCCTCTCACCGTGAACCTGCCCTCTCCAAAGTCAGGCGAATATGAAAAAAACCAGCATGCTACCTTTTTCCCCGTTTGTTTCTCCACCATGTCGTTGCTGAGAGAGAAATCGTCTGACTGTGGTGTTTTAGAACACCCACCCTTGGGCATCGTTCTGCCTTCCTTACTTGATCTTCATTTATGCTGCCATCGCCTCATCATCAACCGTCTGTTTAGAGAGAAAAATCAGAAGAATTAGAGATTTTATAAAGATCATTAAAAAAGAGAAAATACAGGATAACTGCTGCGCTGGGCTGCCAGAACAGGTACTAGCATCCACGCATCCCACACAAGGCGGGGCCAATCTGCCATGGGCCCCAGATGCAATTTTTAAGGGAGCAAATAGCCACCTGCATTCTAAGAACTGGGCTGCTTCTGAGAGACTATTTAATGTCATTTATCTCGGAGGCACCAGGGATAGTCATCGTGATGGGCTAGACTCAAACAGAAAGTGATACCCTTACAGTTTGGTCTACAGAACTGATCTTAATTCCCACGTGGGGCTTCTCTCAACTACGGTATCCTCCACCACAGTAAATGAATGCCCCATAGCTTGTAAAGGTGAGCCCTATGGACAGGTATTTTTGGCACTAAGGTAACTATTTGTGCCTATGGAGTTTATCGTCAGTCCTATGAATTTTTCTGGTATTCAAGGGACTAATACATAAAGCAATTAACATGTGGTGAATTACAAAATCTACTTATAAAATGTGTCTTTTGTATTGGCCTGCTTCCATCTCTAGAGAAAAAACAGAGAATGCAAACACAAGGTACAATGTTCCCTGCAAGGTTTTCAGAGAAGCCGCCCCAAGCCAAGCCCTTTCAGTCTCAGCACTGCCATTGTGCCTTGGCCTAGGTACGGCACAATTCAGGAGAATAACAAAGAGCTCTGTTGCCGGTGCCATGTGTTGCCTGGTTACAGAGCTGAAAAGACAACGGACATCTGAAATACACAGAAGTATGTGTTGTAACCGAGATCAGAAACGTGGTCTGGAGCCAGGACAGGCATGGCCTTTTTGTGAAACAAAAATATCTCCTCTCCTGAGGCTAGAGGCTAAAAAGCATCAGCACAACAGTATACTTCAGACTAGCGACCCAAATCGGAGTCCTAAAGCAAAAGTCTTATTGTACTTAGGTTGAAATGACACAAACTTGGGATCATTTGAAAAATCTTCCCCCGGCTAATTGCCACCTGATGGCATAACACATTGTACTATTAACTTTTTGTTATTTTTTAAAGGTACAATTTCAGGAAATTGTCCAGGAACAGAGTCATTCCAGAACGCCATCCCCAGTCTGGGGATTTTGTAGGTGGGGACAAGAGAGAGAACAGAACTGAGGTGGGGGAAAGTAAAACCTCCTACCAATTTTTTGGGTGCCTAAAAAGCCACAGCTTTTAAGGCCCACAACTTGAAATGATTTGAATCAGAGAGGTGTTTAGTTCCAAGGAGTGGGACTGAAACCCACCAGCTGACTTCATGCAGATGCCTAAATACTCAGAGCCATGGCTTCTGTTCTGTCTTTTGTGTGTCTGGACCATGAGCCACCAATTCAGCACCTCTGACCAGCATTACATTCTGCTGCACATATCATCTTCCGAGCCCACCGCTTTGACCCTGTCACTTCTCTCTTGGCATCCGTCCACAGGCTCCCTCTTCTCTATCACATCAGACATAAGCTACCTGTCTTCTCTCTCAAGGCCCTTCACCCCCTGTTCCCACCCGACCTACCAGATCTCATTCAGTATCGAAAGTTCGACTCCTGCCTCTAACAGGCTCATGGTGCTAGCAGCCTCCATTGCCTCCTTGTAAAATTTTCAAAAAATCACATTCATGCTTTCTCTTATGCTGCCTGCAGCTCATGCTCAGGCAAACCTCCCTGTAAACATCTGCAAAACGAACTCCTCCTCCTCCTCCAAATCGCTCCTTATAACTCTCCTCTGTCAGAAAGCCTACAAAAAAAAACTTGGCAATATTTAGGCTGGTGGTGTGCTAAGACCACCACCTGTCATGCTGACCAAGATTGTCTCATTTCCTTGTACTCCCCCGTTTGTCCATCTGTGTCCATCTCTCATCTTATACTTAGACTGGAAGCTCTTTTGGGCAGGGGCTGTCTTTTTGTGCTGTGTCTGTACAGCATGTAGCACAGGGGGTTCTTGTCCTGAGTACTACTGTAATAGAAATAATAATAATGACATTTACTTTAGAAAAATTCTGTGGAACGCTCTTCATTTGTAAACATGTCTGTAAACTATAAACCCTCCCTACTCCACTGACCATAGGCTTTTCACAGTTGTTTTTTCAAACTGATAAAAACGTTTCATGCCCCTTTCGTAGCCCCACAGCAGCAGAAGTTAACCACCCAAATGCTATCTATCCATAGATAATGCTGAGACACATCAGTTAACAGAGGTGTTATAACAAAACATGTTTCAGAGAAACAGCCGTGTTAGTCTGTATTCGCAAAAAGAAAAGGAGTACTTGTGGCACCTTAGAGACTAACCAATTTATTTGAGCATAAGCTTTCGTGAGCTACAGATGAAGTGAGCTGTAGCTCACAAAAGCTTATGCTCAAATAAATTGGTTAGTCTCTAAGGTGCCACAAGTACTCCTTTTCTTATAACAAAACATGGCTTTCTTCAGAGCAGCCATGTTAGTTTCTGCTCTGCTCTTAACACAGCTGGCTATGGACAAATTATCCATATTTAGGAAATGGAAAAGGGCACCAGAGGTCTCCTTAGCTGTGGCTCCCAGTGAGGATAGCTGTGTAGGGAAGCCCTGTGATGCTGGGTACCAGAGATGCACAGTAAGGACATTTCACCGCTTCTTTCTAAAATGGAGGGAAATGGAATGACACCCCTCACTGCTGTGCTCTCTCTGCGGGGAAACCAGGGAGCAGATCATGCAAAGGAGGCTGAAAAGGCCCTAGAAAGGGTGAGTGGGGAGGAATCCAGCAGATAGGTAACATCAAAACACAGGCAAACTGACATTTCTATTAACATTAAAGTGAAATACACCAAAAAACTTCACCATGCTTTTCGGAGTAGCATGAATATCCAACACGTGGACGTTTCTATAGTCCCACTACGTAGCACTGCAAGGGCATGAAGCCCACAGTGAACATGGGATCTCATATCAAAATGCTGACAAAAAATGACTAGAAGCAGCATCTTAAAAAGGTGAGCTAGCTTTCATCGGGCATTATAGGTTGGAAAGGGTAACTGTTGGGATTCATATAAACCCAGGGTCAAGACTGAGCCAGTCCTTGGTAGTATGACAGACCAGCATTACTGATTTGGTCCCCCCAGATTAGGCAGAATATAAACTTTAATGTTAAAAAAAAAAAAAAAAGGTTTTGAGCCTTCATGAAGTGGAGAAAACCACGCTCACATGACCAGCTGCAGTGATTTCAGGCACTTCTTAGATCCCCAGGACACTGAACTGCAAGACTGTTCCCTACAGACTATTCTCGGGTGTTCTGTCTGGTATCATTGCCACCATTTCCACCTGAAGCAAAGCTCAGTGTAAGTGTCTCTCTCTCACCAACAGAAGCTGGTCCAGTAAAAGCCATTACCTCCCCCACCTTGTCTCACCACTTCCACTGGTAGGTTATTTACAACCTCTCAAATCTCAGTTGCGGAGAGTTTTCTCTGATTTGCCCAGCCTACGTATTCCTTTCTTAATTTCATCCTATTAGTCCTAGTTATAACCCAGGGCTTGAGCTGAGTCCCACTAACAAGGACAAGGAAGCATCTATGAGTGTTGAGGGGGGGAGGAGGGGGAACACTGGGGGTGATGAGTGGGAGGTGAGTAGAGCTCCACCACGCCAGTGCTTGCATGGGGTCACAAGGAGTCCTTTGAGCATGTGGACTTCAACAACAGTATGAACATCCAAGCAACGGAGATTCAAAGGACTTGGTGTCAATGATGAAAATTCAGTTTTAGTCTACATGGCATATTAAACCACACGGCACACAGAACAGCTTCACTTGCTGTAGTTATATTAATGCATGAACTGGCATGCATGGGATCAGAGCAGCGACACTCTGCCCTATAACACAGACTATGCCAAATTACAAACCAGGTCCAATTTAGGATTCCACTTCAAATGCCTCACTAAAATTGGTTTTTATGGTCATGTGTATGTCAATTTATTCTTGAAAAAATCTGTCCACACTGGCTGTCATTGTGTCTGTTTGTAACCAGGGTATATACCTATTCACGTGGTGCTTGGAAAACCTGTTTAACTGAGAAAAGGCCAGACGGGTGCCAGATTAATTCCGCACCCCTTCTGTTCATCTAGCTGACTCATTACACTTGGAAAGCTGGCTGCCTGTTCGTGTAAACAGAGCACTGGCCTATTTAACAGCTTGGAGGGAGTATTACATTTGCACAACAATTACCAATAATGCTTGCAATCCTCATTTCATTTTTAAGCACAGTTAATAGAAGTCAGAGGGGAGGTACAAATGCCCAATTTGTAAGAGCTACCCCCAAGATAAAAGGAGTGAAGGCCGTTGCTGACATATGCATGCAAGCAGGACCAGCGGAGGGACGTTAGTATAACATACAATTTGGCTCCAATCCCTCCTAATCTGAAAACTGGACAAACCACCCATTCTACTACACTGCTTTAAACTTTACTTCCCTACCAGGAGACAATCATCAACATTTCTATTTTGTAAACAATTAACTAAGCTCCTTGAACCAGATGATTACACTTCTGTCACACAATAAGGAAGTGGGAGACCCAGCGAGCACAACGTAATAAAATCCCCAACACATTTCCAGAACAACAAAAGAAACTGCCTACATGTGGCAGGCAGCCAAGCTACTGGACTCCACCAACCCAGGCTCAAACAAGTGTGTACCAGCCTTTTCAACCTGGTTCCCACAGACATTTGCACATCATTTTTGTATAGTGGTTTCAACGCATCCCCCAGGGAAAGAGGGAAGGGGGAGGGATAAAACTTCCTAAGACTTAGCAAGTCTGTAAATTACAGCTGACTGCTGGGTCATGAAACCCTATTACAGGCCACAGATATCGGTGAAGCTGGCTAGGAGACTAAAACATCTGAGTGTCCCTCAGGCCTCTGGGTATAAGCACCGTTATTTTTGTCCTCTCTGCTTTTTCTCCACAGAGATGAAGACAGGGCTTTTCAAACTTTTA